ATGTGGTTATGTTATTTAATAGAACAATGTTTTATTAACTATGATATATACATATCTATATAGAATATATACAATATATACATATATTATATATAATAATATATAATTAATATATAAAGAGCCGCAGAGCGACGTGGCTCATCTGAGATTCGTGTTGGCAACGGTTATAAACGTAACATTTCAGTTCGTGCGTTAGTGACACCTTTTGTTTAGGCACAGATATGCAGATACGGGCAGTTGCTTACACATCATTTTCAGCAAACATTTTTTTTATTGCAGAGAAGAGAGAGCGAGAGAGAGAGCGGGCGAGAGCGAGAGGGGGAGAGAGTCAGTCAGACTAAATTGTTTATAAACAAATAAACCCAGGTGGCGCGCTACTGTATCAGTTACGTCATCGATTAAAATGTACATTCCGATTTCGCCGCGCCGGCGTCCAAACTTTCGACGAAGATGGCGGGCAGAGGTAAGGCAGACGCATGTATAACGTACAGATTTCTTCAATGTCGGGAGGATCAACACATTTCGACTGACAGTCAACCATCGGGCTCTGCAGCGTCCACAAGCCAGCATGCTCCACCATATCCCGACATTGCACACTACTGTAACAGTCGACGGAGAGAGCCATGGACAGTACAAAACTGACAAATTTTCATTAGTAGGTTTGACGATTCATTTCTGCAATTACTTATCTCAAGATTGGTTAAACTGAAGTTAGAAGTAATTCTTTCTGCACTTTTGAGCGCAATATACATTTGAGCTATCCTGCCTGGACATTCTTCTCACTCTGTTCCGATAGATGGCATGCATAACTGACTAGGTGCAGGGAATAGATAATCAGAACTAGTTGCCACCTTCGTTTAGCCCATGCTGTGATACTATCAGCCCCCACCTGCGAGATAGGCCTATTTATAGTTTGGCCTTAATCAAAAACAGACGCTTTTGCATAAGCGCCTATTGACATTGTATTCCAACGTACAGAATCTCATATAGAGAATGAAGTTCATATATGATTTAAGGCGCGTAAACGTTGTTCAAGTTTTGCATGCAGAATTTCACTGTGAAATTTAAGTTCTTCCACGATAACACAAGTACCGATCAAAACACAAGTTTCAGTCTTTGTTAACAGTCAACAAATCCATGTTTAACCCTCCTCTTGCGGGGTCAGAAGGTTATCAGACACTTACTCTTCGCACGTCAGTGGAAAGCACATTCATGGTCCTTTTAATAAAGTGATTAAAAATGGTAGGTCAGCGCTGAAACAAAAAAGCTTTTCATGTCCATTAGGCCATTTCTCAGAAAATGTTTTGATACCTGACCTTTCCCCACTGCCCTTTGACCTGTGACCTCCAATTTCGCACTGGTGATGGGTTTCCTGTCCATCACTCTATCTATCTATACTATATTTTGGCTAATCTTCGTGTGTGTGTGTGTGCTGTGTGTGTTTGTTTGTCCTCCGCGTTCGCCCCTATGTCACTCAATCGACGCTAACTGAAGATATATTCAGCAATCACCACGTCTGGGAATTTCTGTTGCTTCAAACAAAAATCTAATTCCTCATAGATTGGTGCATCGTCTCAGGATCCCCCCCCCTACTGCAGATTCCCCTGCCACTCTGCTTTGACGTACACCACGACACAGTGTCAGGCCGACGCCATTTTCTGTTGTACCAGACTGCAGTGGTTTTCTTTTCAGTTACATGAAATATTAAAAACTTTATCGGTATCATCACATTGGAGTTTATATTTAAAGACAACATGCTGGTTCTTACGGGTCTACTTCTCTGCTAGTATTACTATATTGGCTAATCGTTGTGTTGTGTGTGTTGTGTGTTTGTCCGTGCTACCCCGATTGTCATCAATCGCTCGCAAATCTAAAATTCAGAATCAACCACGCTCTGGAGATGGTTCTGGCCTGAGAAAAAAATTAAAAAAAGAATTATATGTAAGTCAAAAAATTTCGAAAAAGCTATTTCTGTTCAAAAGAGGCAGTGCGTACAGCAGATCCCACATCACATACGTAGGAAAACACTCGTCTCTGCTGCCGCCGTGTGAGCATTTATTTCAGAATCACAAACGCTGGGAGATGGTTCTGCGCCATAACAAAAAATCTATTCTCAATAGATGGTGCTACGTCTCAGATCCCCCCCCCCATACTGCAGATTTCCCCCCTGCTCACTCTGCTTTGAACGTACACCGTACTTGCGCACAGTAGTCAGTGGCCAGTAGCTTGTGCCAGTGTTCGTGTCTGTACCCCAGTGCAGTGGGTTTTTTCTTTTTCAGTTACATTGAAATTATTTAACTTTATCTGTGTCACTACATGGAGTTTATCTATTTAAAGACAACATTTTGTCTGCGTTCTACGGCTATACTTTTCTGCTAGCTATATATAAAGTTGTTCAGCCGAATTAGTGTGTTCGCGCATAACTAGAGAAACTCCGCAGCCTAGAGGAAAACTAAGATATTTTCAGAATCAGCACGTCTGGCTTGAAACAAAAATTAATAAAAGCTTAAAAAGTTAAACATTCATTAAAAAATTCTATTGATCAATAGATGGCGGTCACGTACGTACACACACATCACTCTGAATCCATGGTGTATAAACGTAATGGAGCAGTGGGCTCATCAGTACAACATCCATTTGCTACACCTGGATTCTAAGTTCGAGTCCCAGCTGGGGAACTTATTTTCCCCTTTTTTTCTTTTTTCCCTTTACCTACCTCTTTAGTATGTATTATTTTAAATTTTTAATTAATTTTAAATTAATTAATTTATTAAATTTATGATTTTTTTAGTTTATTAATTAATTATTATTGTCTTTTATCTTTTTATTTCTTATTATCTTTTACTGTTTGGGATGGGATGGGATGGCATGGCATGGCATGGGATGGCATGCGATGGGATGGGATGGGATGGGATGGGATGGGATGGGATGTGGTGGGATGGGATGGGATGGGATGGCATGGCATGGCATGGCATGGGATGGCACTGAATGTGATGAGATGGGATGGGATGGTACTGAATGTGATGAGATGGGATGGGATGAGATATGGGATGGGTATGCGGTGGGATGGGATGGCATGGAATGGGATGGATGGATGGATGGATGCATGGGTGGATGCATGGATAGATAGATAGTTAGATTTTTTGGGGTATTTTCCTTTCAACCAAGCTGAGTAATGCCACTGATTTCCCCGGGCAACGCCGGGTATCCCGCTAGTACACCGAATATTAAGAGCATAGGTCGAGCCGCTTCAGTTTGGTGCCGCAATTCCGTATTACTCTCCTATACTTAAGTTAAAGGGAAATATTTCCCCCTTCGTTGCACATCTTGACCTTTGGACCCTTGACCCCCCAAATTGCTCATCCCGAGTCCTTTTTACGACCCCCCCCCCCCCCGAACGTCCTGAATATCGTGACCGTACATCAAGCGGTTAAGATTTGTGCCCAACTGATGACGGACACACGAACGCACAGATGGACGCTCATGCGATTCTACAAGCTGCATCCGACTTCGTCAGATGAGCTAATAAACATAATATATACAATTCAGAGATGTCTCTACAATTACATCGTTGTGAACACAAATTAAATATGGGCGATAATTTACTACAGTGCTTCTTCACGTACTTGAAGAAAGGAACGATCTTGCTAGCGAGTCTCTCGGCAGTGCGGAATCCCTGCGAGAACAGCATCACCTCCGCAATCAGCTGTCTGTCGGGCGTCGTCATGGCGAGGCTACGGAACAGCTTCTTCAAGTTGTCCGGCAGATTCGATCGGCCGGCATAACCAGGGTTCATCGTGATGAAGATGGCCATGTCCGTGCTCACGCGCACCTGCTTGCCTATCAGCTCCACCTGGATGTTGGTGACTGTTTCGGCACAAATATTCAAACTATTTAATAACGGTCGATTAACATGGAGAACACAATAATAGCACTTTACGCATTACAAGAATCAAACCAACTTATTTTGTAGATAAGCTATGAACTTTGTATCAGTGTTATAGGAAGCACTCAATAAAGTGGAATAAAATCAATTAGATGAGGTTTCAACTAATGGTTCCCATTAAAACTATATTACAAAAGGCACTATTGATACAAATACAGTGGCAGGTTCATTAAAGCTGCACTATGCGCATCCAAACGCTAATTTCTCCAGTACTAGACTAGCAAATATGTGTCATGCAGAATCACACTACCTTATGGCAAAATAAACTCTAGTTCCTCCCATTTCAGTGCCCGTTTGCTTAAAACCCACAAGAAAGAGGCGCGAAATCTGGTACCAATGCTAAATTGTTTGCCAAACAATTTTGCTAAGAATCGGTTAGGTGACGTCACATGTTTTTATCTTTGCTACACCCGTATCGCTGTACCGCAACACCGCTGTGCGGTTGGTTGCTTGGCAGAGAAACGCGAAAGTGTCAACAACATCGGAGAATTTGAACAACATTGGATGTATTTTCAAATGCCTTTTATAAGACAACGCGCAGTGAAATGGGAGGAATAGAATTTATTTTGTCATAAGGTAGTGTGATTATGCATGACACGAAGTATTTGCTAGTCTAGTACTGGAGAAATTAGCGTTTGGATGCGCATAGTGCGGCTTTAACACATGCGTGGTTTTAATCTGGTACATAGAAACGAGTGCGGACTGGCTACCACATTTTATACACGCCGGTGTTGCTATTACACAATTACTGCAGCCAAGTGTGTGATGTTACGAAACACGCAGACACACACAAAATTTACATGTCCTACACGTATTTGACACCACAAGGCCACAGGTAATAAATAATACATATCACAAGGGCCATACATACATCTCACGTGAGCTACATTGATCTCCAGAACAGTAAACACGACATAAAACACTCACACAAGAGGTATATGGGTTGATTATATATGTGCATTGCCACTAAACAGTCAGGTCAACAGTGATTGCACACAGGGTTAATGGCTCTAGCCAGAAATATGCTCTTCCTGTTACAGCTAACACGCCCTACACTGAAAAATGCTCCTCTATAACTTCAGTATCATACAAGCCAGGCCCCTCACCATGCTCATATCAATACATGCCGCAAGTGGAAGCGTACAGCTTCTGACATCCCGAGTAGAGTTGGCAACTCGCATGATTAGAAACCACACTGACATCATGAATTTTCGGCAGCCTTTTTGCATTACTTCAGCCAGACTCATGCAACAGCACACCTCCTGTTTGCTCATAGTCCTGAAAGCACTCCCAAAACCCAGGCTTCTCTGCATGCTGCTGACTCATCAGTGATATACTATGCACATAATGCGAGTGTGACTATACAGACCACGCGACCAGTACCAACCATTAACCACAACAGGCAACACCAAACACATCGGTTTTTCTCACCCGTACATTGACGATTGCGCATAGAAACAGACAAGCCACAGTGCAAGAGACGCATGCCACAAGTAATCGACACATGTTCTCACTCACAGTGCTGCTTGTCCGTCGGCACTAAAAATCACAGTCTACAATGAAGCAACATAAGCACGGATACATTACCAGAGGTCTTACCACGCCCGCCCTCTTGAGCTTGCTCTCGCAATGCCTCCTGGATTGTCTGTATCTGCTGAGAGACAGCTGATAGCATGCGCTCCTCAAGTCTGTTGAATTCATCAAAGCATCCCCATGCTCCGACCTGACACAGGCCGACAAAGATTCGGCCCATTGCCTGCGCAACAGAGCAGCGAGGTACGTATGGTTTATCACACCGTTGAGGCTGACAGAATATGGATTCTGACTATTACAAAACAAGATGATCATGACATCTACTTGATGATATAAACATGCCGATTCGTTTACTGTATTAGCTTGATTACTAAACCTGATTTTCATAATGTAATTTGTTATTTATAGACTATGTATACTTGGTCTATTCACAATGACTGTCAGTCTAATATATAGTACAGTACATGTGAATATTATTAGGCACATAATCCTACCTGGAAGTCAAATGTCTCATCACAATTGAAGACTAGTACAAATCTACCTAGTTGGTTGCCCAGTGCTTTCACTGATTCAGTCTTGCCTGTTCCAGCAGGACCTGTAATGCAATATACAATGAGCTTCACAGATATACTCGAAAAATTACACGAAAATAACATGATTATTTAGCTATGCAAAGTAACCACTTGAATATTATGCAAATGATAATCAATCAATTATGGTTGTGGGTTATAAGAAAATAGGAATGAAGCATAACATTAAAATACACTAAAAAGGTTTGCACACTAGACTATATTTGTTTACAGTTTATCACTACTATAGACTGACAAGCGGTACCACTATTTCAAACAGCACACATTAATAATTCTATCATTAGAGGTACCATTATCATTGAAAAATATTATGAATCAGTTTAAAATTTCATGAACAGCAGTTTCTCAGCATCATACAATATAACAGTTACCAGAAGCTGCACAAGGTTGGCAACAAGTGCTGAAAACAATGGAATAATTAGTTTGTATTTGGGATTAGGGTTAGGGTATATATTTTATATGTTACCGATAACAGATGACATACGAGCTATACACATACATTAATTATACATTATATACATTATACAGAAAAACAAATTCAATTATAAATATTGATCCTAGTAGAGACAATTCCATTCTGTATCTTGATAAAGAACTACATATAAAGTAAGGTGACAAACCAAATGGGGATCCTCCAAGTCTGCCCTCTAAAGCTTGGGTCATGGTTAGATAGCAGCGGTCAGTCAGCGGAGTCTGTACAAGCTTGTCTGTGGCGCCAAGATACTCAAAGCCATAATTGAACTTTGCATTTGCCATATGTATTGACAGCTGTAGAAGCACAGAAATAGGTATTTGTGTGGTTATAACAAACAGCACACAGAATATTGGGCATCGTTCCCAACCAGAATGCTTTCCTATATGATTAGTTACTGTACAATCAAACACAAGACATCAGGAAGATTTAGCCTAGATGGAACATTGCAGGTAGTACATTCGCTTCTAGCAGGCATTCACTGATTCACTGTAGTGAAAATCAATATCAAATTACTGTACCTATTGTAATAATTTAATACAACACTATATTTAATATGTCATATGAACATGATTGTCATACCTGTTGCAGTACATCCGAGTTCTTGGGATCAAAGTAGAAGCGCATTTGCTTCAACCATTGAAAGTTTTTGGGGTGATTGATCTTAGATTTCAGTAGATCTCTCGTTACATCTCTTTGGTGCACCAACTCTGTAATCTATAAACACACGTGCACCTTCATTACTTGTGCCAAAATAAGTGGCAGCCCAAATTTAAAAAAGTTGGGAATCACTTTACCCCATTCATGCAAATTTGAAGTTTGTGGTAAATATTTTCCCATACATATGCCGATCATTGTTAGCTATTTATACACTTGGCTTTGAAATTATCTTTCCCCTTTTTTGTGAATATTGAACTGCACAAATTTGCCTGCAACTTAATTTATACAAGATTGAACTATAAATGATTGTTAAACCTATATTAAAGCTATCCTATAAAATGGCACGGCAAATCACAACTTAGAAAGTAGGAAACAAATTCCTGTGAGCAGGCTATGTGTGTAAGCAATTCATTCAAATATTTCTGCTGTATATTCACAATTCAATAGCAACTCAGGACCAGGGTTCTCGTTTTTACGGAGCCGATCGACCCAAGCCCCGTAAACAGCCCCGTCTCTGATGTCCACGGGGCTTTTTTCCCGCCCCGTCAAATTTGATTACATAATTCATCAGATTAAAAAAATCTGCCCCGTCGAGTACATGACGTGCCTTTTTTAGGCCCTGTGGTTTTCTCAGATGACGAAGCCTGTCAGGACTTGGACTAGTCCCAGCAATTTTTTTTTATATATTTTTTTAAATATTTTTTTTATTTATTTATTTATATATATATATATATATTTTGTCTAGTCTAATTTACTCGCTCACCAGATGCTCCAGCTTCTTCCTGCGCACGGCTGGCTGCTCCTGCAGCACAGAATCAGCGAGCACGTTCAGCGTGGCTTCAACAGTCTGCAGCACCGTCTCCATGTCCTTAAGGTCATCCGCATTCTTCTGGTTGGAGATCGTCTGCAGTGCCAACTCAACCGACTCCGACCAGCTGATCTGAGCTGACAGAACTACGATCTGCGCCTGCGAGGGACAGAGGGGTGTTTGTATAGCGTGAGCGTGTTGTACGCAATCAGAAATATAAATACAATTAATAAATATATAAAACCACCCGCGTACTTATTATATATATATATTATCAGGAGTGGATAATAGGATCTCTATTATCCACTACTGATATTATGTATATATAATATTTCTTGCAATTTATATTTAGATTATTATATTTTTTATGTATAAATTATTCATTAAGCCTTCTAAAGTATTAATTAAAAACTTTCACTTCAATTTATGCATTTAATGATGGATTTTTCGGATTTACCTAAAAAATCAATTGCTTTGTGATCTTGGTATTCTTTGCAATATTAACATGAATTTTGGTTTTAAAATTTACTATGTTAAACTTCAATATGCCGTCTCGTTTCTAATTCCTCACATTTACACATATAAAGAAAAACACATGCACAGGGGTCGAAATAAGTGATGGTCCGTTGGTCTGGGGCCATCAAATAATCAGGAGGACCATCAGACAATGGTACGACGGATTTTTTGGTCCCATTTTACGGTAATTTTCTTTGAAGTTTCCACGTTCCAATATACTATTAAAGTGAATAAACAATTACTGTGTCGTTTGATACATTCATTGTTACGTAGGTGAATAATTAAACCATTTTATCACCATGTAAAATCTTTCTTATGCTTGCATGCCGCATTACTTTTAGAGAACAATTTGAAATTTAGGAGGACCATCTACATTTCAAGCTAGATGGTCCTGTGGACCATCTCTTTTTTTCTCCTTATTTCTACCCCTGCATGCATGACAGAACATTTGTGGTACATACTTGGTATGTGTCGACCCAGGCGAGATAGTCCTGATTCGAGATCATACCACTTCGAAATTGCTGCACGTCCTGCACAGCCTTAGCCAAGAGATGGGCCAGGGTCATCCTCATCTCTTTCTCCACTAGGGTGAGCCACTCATTTATCTTAGGGTGATCCTTGATGGATACTGTAGTCGAAAAATCCACCTGCAATCAGAAATTAAATCAGAGGTTAGACTCGTCAAACGAGCTTAATATATTTGAGAAGGGGCGAATTAAATTTACATTAGGTGGAATGAGCTTGTTTCATTTAGTAATACCTTAGTACTTCTAGCAAAAAGCTTTTCTATAAATATTTATATAGTTTCAGTAGAACCACAATACTAAAACCACAATAGCAAAAACAATTATATGGTGGTCATAATTACGAGAACTAATATGATTTCTATTGTCACATTGTATCACAAATTTAATTAATTTAATTAAAAATCCAACTAAGTTAATTAAACTCACTTCTTCTCCTTCCCTAGATGAAATGCCCTCCACTACAGTAGCATCCTCATTCAGTTTGATGGCCGCAATGCCTGCAAACATCTTCTTAAAGTGCTTCTGTAGTCGAGGAACGTTCTTGCTGTTACCAATGATCTCTAACAAGTCTTCATCACCAATGAAGTAGAACCTGAAGATGTATATAACATACTCATCATGGTGGTACCATTAGAAAGGCAATGAGACAATAAAAGAATAATGAGAGTGGCAGATAGTGTCTGAATAATTATTAATAGTCCTAGCCCTTAATAATAGTCGATATTCAATTCAAACCCTGAAAACTAAATGTGTCTACACCCTATAGGACTATTACGCAGATTTTCTTGCACAATTATTTATTTATGCTTATTTTCTTATTCTTTAATATTCTCTAGATTTTCATCCTAGAAAAACAATAAATAATCGATTACCGATCCCACTTATATCTCTGCAAAAAGAGTTAAATATTTCACAGCGCACATACCTGGGGAAGGATGCCCTCTCCCTCTCCAGGTACTCCCCAAGAGCCTTCTGTATCTTGCCAAGTAGGTCTGCTAGCCTCTCCAGTGATCTCTGCACACCAGGTATGTTCACTACATCCAGCACCAATGGCGACTTGGTCACCTTCTTCATCAGCGTGAGGAATTCTGTACTAATACTGGAAGCAAGAGCAACATCCTGTCAATTTATTGCATTACTGATAATACACAACACATACAATGAATAGTTTTAATCACAATTTCTATGGTAGCCAAGTCTGCTATGTCACAATTCCGTAGCCAAGTATTAAATGAATGGTGTCAACTACTATGGAGATGCGCACATGTACATCGAAACCATGCTACTCTGCACACTGACCCCATCCTTCCACTAACCCCCTACTGACCCTACACTGACCCACTACTGCTGCTCACA